AGAATATACATTTTATAAGACTCGATCAACTTGAGTTAATAAAAACAAGATAAAGTTTAGAACGTAGGCTACTATTTAGCCTTTATTTCAATTAAACCAACAACTTCCTCCTGGTGCATGCTTCTCAGTAGGAGGTCATCGTGTATAGAAATTACTCCTATTGATGGTTGCGAAGATACAATCTGACGTATAGAAACTAAATAGCTAAATGAAAAATTGTGTATGCCATTTGTGTTAATCAATTTTGTTTTCAATGGTTCACTATATGTGAAAGGCTGTGTTTATACACTGCAAGCCTTATATGCATGTTTCAGCCAATTAGGCTTACGCTGATTTGCTGATAAAACCATGCAGTCAAAACGAAAACAAGCTGAACAACGCCAGACCTATAGGCTTTACTGTATGTAAATCCAGCTATTATAAGGACTAAGGTTTCCCCGACATACATATATGAAATGTTGTTAAGAATTTAATTTTAAATACAATGTGATGTACGTTGCAGTTAAACATATACTGCATGTAGTCTACAGTACACCCGCCTCAAACAATTAATTAGCATGCGCACGTGAAATTTCAACATAAGACTGAATCGATATAATATATACATATAATTATTCTATAAATAGCACACTTTCCTCATCCTCATACCAAACAATCCAACGCCCATTCCTTCAGGGATCCGGATCAATTAATTATAGTATAGCTAATCCCTGAGCTTAATTTGCCTTTGGTGCTAGACCATATAGCTATTTATTTACCATACTATTGTTATATCCGATGCAGTCAATCCTGATGATGACTTCAATTTATAGTCAAAACGTCCACTCATGATCAATAAATCAAAATGTTATTGGGAGTTACTGTTCTTTTGTATTTTATAATAACTCAAATAGGATATTATAACTAATTGGATTATAAGGTTTTTGGTGTTCAAATTAACAAGGTTTCAACTTAGGCGTACGAGACAGGGGGCAGGGCAACTGCCCCCCCCCCCCCAACATTTTTGAAAACCATGGAAATTCGGGCAAATGCTAGGAAAAATCAAGAAAATTCGGGCAGAACCCGTACGTCAACGGGTTTCAAGGTTACTGCAATTATATAAAGTAATTAGGTTTTTCAAATCGATGAAAAAGCACTTGAACAGCTGTTTGGCAATTATGATATTTATCTGATTTCAACATATTTTTTCATCATGTGAGCAAAACGCCTATAGGCATCATACTCGATGACAGATGATGTATACCCACTGTTTTTATTTTCCTTTGTTCCATGATAAAACATATTAACTCTATAAAGCTTTAATTTTTATTAATATTGGTTGTGAAAACAAAATTAATTTAAATATATATAGACAGTATATAGACAGTATATATATATATATATATATATATATATATATATATATATATATATATATATATATATATATATATATATATATATATATATATATATATTATATATAGGATCGGCTGATACATATATTTAGATATAAACTCCTTATAATATACTTGTTTATCAACAACATAAGAAGAGGACTATCCAATACTATACATTGTCTAGTATTAAAATAGATTATATGTTATTTCCTCACAAACTATATATATACTAATCAGGGCGGAGGTTTGATATCGAAGGAACTAGACTGAGTTCCGAAATATCACCCACCCGAACCGACGTGACCTAGCTCGTAGCTCAATTGGTATAGAGCATATGGGACTATAGGAAACCAAATTAAAAATCGATCGCGGGTTCTAATCCCACCCCGATCAAGCTGCAAACATTTCGGCTTGCCCGGTGTGGACACACTCAGAGACAACATCGCAAACATGCATATACATTTTTTTAACTCTGAAAACTGAGTTATAAGTCTGTTGCATTCAGTGTAGGGAGTTTGGCAAATACATCATTAATAATGCATATAAGCTTATTTTAAGCATAACAAATCATGTCAACCGCACAGTGGTTTTAAACCTGATAAAACACTCCTATAATTAGGCCTAGTATTCTTTATATAAAGAATCACTATATAATAAGGCAGTATCTATTGTAGTCGTGTCGATCACTATAGTATTCTTTATATAAAGAATATTAATAAGGCAGTATATCTATTGAATTTGCAGTCGTGTTTGAAGCCGTTTAATAAACTCGCAGGTCGTGTTTTATTAGAAATGTTGTGCTGAGTACATATATAGCCTCGACTTCCAGCAAGCTCCTTTCGTAACTTTCAAAACTGCCCACAGCCGGACGAAAGACAGATCTGGAAGTTTCGCCTGCACACGTACGGCATTAGGAACATATAGGAAACTAAAGGAATACAAAAACCACCTACGGCTATACGAGATGCACGTTGACATCTAATTAACGGATGTATACGTATTATACAGAACAGTTTTTGTGACGTTATCTCTCAACCTTGCAAAACTTTATAGTGACAGTATTGCAAACACTACAGTATAATGACCTAATACATCATCTATATATTCTATAATTAACTGACTAAAATAAAATACAAACCAAACAACACATCACCCTTTTGGTATTTCCTAACTCCCAAACGTGGGTGGAAATTGTGGTTTCTTAACCATTTTTATGAAGGTATACACAAAGAACCTACTTTAATATGCATGCGTATGCATACAAGTCTTTCCTGTGATGCATGGTATACTGGCTATATAGCCATACGTATATACATATGTGTGGACACTATATAGCCCGGGCGTATTTCCAAGAAGATAATAATATAATCAGTAAAGCATTAAAAACTTAATAGCATTAAAATAATTTATCCAACAAATAGTATATGGCAATAGATCTGTCAATTTATACACGTATCAGTTATGTCAGCGACATGCAGTCTTGTCAGTCAGTATATTAATTTTCTGCGTTGGTTATATCATCTGCAGGGAAGGGCGAAATACGAACTTTTAATCTTTTAATTGAATAAGAAACGTTAAGTAAAAGTTTTAACATTACAATATCTTAATTAACTATATATAAAAGCAAGTTGATGATTGTCGAATGGTAATTTATGACAAATCAACTATTCGTATAGGAATATACTGTTATATCATAATTTATATTATAATATATAGCTACAAGCAAGCATGTATTAATGACATGCAATGCATGTAAGTCAAATGTGGACAAGATTGAAGAACCCACGCCATAGGCCAAGGGCTCTGCTATATTTTCGGTAGACGAACATGCTGCATAACAGAAGATACATTAATGTATTTACTTAAACTTAGTATACAAGGAAATTGCAAAAGAAGTAACAAGGAACTGTCTGCACCATGAATAAAATCCCACTCATTTATATATAGAAAGGTAGTTCCCGAAACGTATTAAAGGACACGTCATAATTTATAAAGAAGCATTGGAATTATCACAGTGCATTCTACTAAAAAATCAGAATTTATATCGAAAAAGTTCCTTAAGTGACTGTGCTTAGTTATCATTGAAGGAGTCCTTAAATAATAAAGTGTTAAAACTTGTGATGAATTATGTTATATAATTGTATTATAAGCATGCACTTGAGACGATTATGTTCTGTCTATAGCCTATAAGTGTTCCCTCCACTGCTCCCGACTCGTGGCTGTATTAGTGTTTTCTTAAATGACATTTATGGCAGTCTTACTGCATTGAAATGTTATTGTTAACATTGGAGGTATTGTCTTTGAAGCCTTAATTATAAACAAGGCTGGTCAATATAGGCATGCTCGTGATTCTTTCTCGTATAATCATGCAAACATGTTTTCCTCACAAAGCGAGTCCTCAATACATTGTTAATAATGTTCATTTTTATGCTCGACAAGCTATAGATTTACATTGTCATTAGCACGACAAAAAATCTTCAAGAATAATGGCGTATACATGGTCGAGTTCCAAAATTTACATGCGTATGCATATATATATATTTAAATTACCAAAGTCAAAGAAAGTTTAACATCGTACACTGTATCAGGCTATATCACAACATGGAGTACAATCACTGAACCCTTGCAGATATCCTGGCGCTTATTCTAAATTTAAGAATGATATTATACATCATGGTTAAAAATAAGTATGGTCTGATGTGGCCAGTGTAACATGCGTTACAGCGCCAAAGTAATTTTACCAACTTAAAGTAATTTGAAAGCGGTGCAACGACTAAAGCGACATACAAAGAGCATACAAAATATTTGCATACATATCTGTCAAAAGCACAAAAGAAGAATAAACAATAGTAACTTCTTATAGCACTCTCTCAGCTCTATCAACTACAAGTCTGACCAATAGATTTGAAGATTCGTTAAAGTCTAGGTAAACCCCCGCATCTACAGAAAATAGACCATTACATCATGTTATGGGCTTCAATACGCATGTTTAGTGTATTTTCCGTATTACACTACAAATATGTGAATAATTAAATGACTGATTTCAAAAGTATATAAAGAGGATCGAAATGAACTTCTGATAAAATCGTCTCCGATAAACTCACCTGATAAACTCACCAGACAGATTCATTTCTCACCACTGAACTATACAAGCAACATCATGAACATCATGAAGAATTTCAAAGTTTCCAAGGTAGGGCAAAATATTACTAACTAGTCCATTTTTATTTTTGTCTCTTTAATTTAGAGGTATGTTTATGGTATTAGTATATATAAATTGTACTTAATTTTCACATAGTTCGACATTTGAGTTTCTATATATATGCGTTAGTAAGGGACCAAGGCACCTGCTTATATGACAGCCAACAGTTAATAATATTATTGGTGACTCATATATAGCAATAAATCGAAACAAGTAGAAAGCCTTGGCTTTGAATTTATAGCTGTATACTTTAATGCGAACAATTCTTAAAAAGTGAATTGAATCATTCATTATGTGGTAAATTTAAGCAAACTTTGATTCGCCATGCATGTTGCCTGACCTTAACGCGTGTTATGTATAAAGTGTGAGCCCACGTTGCCCTTCGCTGACAGATATTTTACAAACACTAATAGTAATATCGAGTTAGCGTTGTAGTACGATTTGCCAGAAAAAAGTTTCGGGCAATGTAAGTGAAACCTGTAGTCGATTAGTATATAATTTATTGGTTCGATCAGATAGAAATGGATAATCTATGAAAGAAGAAAATTACAATGTCAATGCCAATGGAATTTAATGAAAATCTCTCTCCACATTGACCGGCTTAGTTGTCGGATTTTGGCACTATAATCTACAAAGTGTGTATTTCAGTAGAAGAAATATCTAGAATTTATCTAAAATTATGCCTGATCGATATATCAAGATTATTGAATATTGAGACGTCTCAATATAATCTAAGGTCTCGAGCCAGAACAGTACTATCTAGGTTTGGCATAAGAGGAAGTTTAAGGCAGTCAATTGTGGGGGTGGTAAATACAAAGAGTATTTGTTTGTAAAGATATGCAAATTATGCTGTTTTGATACGAACAAATATCTTCTAGTGGATAGATCATCATCTGGCCGAGAGTTGCTGAAATAACACGATGTGATCATGTGAAGAAAGTAATAAACAACATGAAGTTACAAATGAGTTTGTTTTCATGATGTTGTAATTAAGTTTATGATATATATTTATGCATTTAAGTTCATATAATATATATGCAGTTTATAGAGTATTAGAGATTATATTTAACGATATCTTTGAGAACTCCATGATTTAGCAGAATGCATGAATGATTTGAAAGGCTGCGAATTGTTATATCGTAATAATTATCACATGCAATATAGATAGTATATGATACATGCATGAATTCGAATAGTGCTACTACCCTATATACGAAACTAGTCACGGACTGTCGAGTGTCGACAGCAATGGCAATTGCCAATGGTGTATCATACTATATAAAAGTCTGATCATCCAGCAATCTTTGGATATTGTTTACCTCAACAGATATAATTTGCGGCTAACAGTAACACGCTATACAGTGTACAGTGTACAGTGTACAGTGTACACAACTATGCGGCCAAAGCCAGGCAATGTTCTGCATGATAATTATTAAGCATTGAATGGAACAAGTGTGATTATAGGTTCAGGCCTCCAGGAGTTTTGATACTGAACCGGTCGACGAATTTGGCCTTATGAAGCAGTTTTGTTACTAGAGGTCTTCTTTTAAGGCTGTCCCTTTTTCACAGTCAGTAAATGATCTCAGACTTTCAAAAAATTAAATGCACGTTTGCATGAATGCAATGATTTCAAACAAGAGCACACAGCTATTGTGTATTACAATTTAAATATTTCAGTTGAAAATAAACACATAGTGACCTCTGTAGTACGGGTCATTTACTTCGTTTCAAAACAACTCAAAGTATATGTTTGTGACGTTGTTGAGTGTGTCCACCGGGCAAGCTGAAAAGTTTGCTTCACCGTGGCTGGAATCGAACCCGCGACCTTGGAATGCTCTACTAGCTGAGCTACGAGATCAAGTTGGTTCGAGTGGTTGATTTTTTTGGGGGAGGGGGGAGGGTGGTTATTGCAAAACACCAGAAACAAAAAAATTCAAGGTCCTAAAAACATGTCGACTTGACCTCGTAGCTCTGTTGGTAGAACATTGCATGATTATAGCAAACCAAAGGTCTCGGGTTCGATTCCCACCACGGTCAAGCAAATTGTTTGGCTTGCACTGTGCGGACACACTCAGAGACAACATCACAAACATAACTAATAATCACAAACGAAACTAATACAAGTTTATCATGTGCTTATATGTGCATGCACATACAGTAAAACCCCGCATAAAGAACCAGTGAATTTTGACTTCAGGCTGAAGTGGTGCTTATATAACAGGTAATTAGAAAGAAATCAGGCTGAAGTGGTTCTTAACTGGTTCTTATTTCCAGTCAAAAACAATTGTTCCTGGTTTAGAGTTGTAAACCTCTTATTGTATATAATGAAACTAGTAAATGAACTGTAAGTAATTATTTTGATAAAATAAATGCATGCATGAGCATGATGTGGCAGAAAGATATAATTCCTGCTAGCAAGATTACAGTATTTTCTTTTCTTCCTAGTACCTGCTTACTAATTCAGCTAAAAGTTTAATAAGGTTTTTTAAGAACCAGTTTCATTTGTCAGCCTGAAGTGGTTCTTGTATTTTTGGGTGCTTAATTGCCCAAATTTCAGGCTGGTGGTTCTTAACGCACTGGTTCTTTTATACGGGGTTTTACTGTATCACCGTCCCTGCAGGCTGCATGATCATGAGTTTCCTCAATATAGACAATAGGTTTCCATAATTATTTTTGTAAGGTACGTATTTTGTGTACGCAGTGGTAGAGTATTTGCTTTTCCTGAGTGAAACTTTGTACACTGAATTGATTTTCGTCTATTATCGGACTTAAAAATCCCGTTTGAGATGGAAAGGGCCTCAATTAAAGTTCAGGGAAATAGGCGGATAAGGGAATTAAGAATCTAGTCTTTAACGGACTATACGCAGACTGTTTACAGTTTCTCGTCTAAAACGAGTTCCCGGCCTTATAGACGCGGAAATCCATTTTCAACTATATATGTCTGTGAAACGGCCAATGTCACAATGTTTCATCATGTTTATTAAATTTAAGAATGCTTTTTAATATTTAACAACCCATTTTCGATCCTTTGAGTTTGGAAATTTTTAGTCCGTTTGTTGTAAAAAGGTGGAATTGAGACTTAGCTAACTAATGGTATTAAATACAAGATTTATTGCCCCTTTGTAACTGACATGTTCCTCATACTTACAATTAATCACATGACAACTGTATTCAGGTTCACTCCTCCAACATGAGGTAAGGCGAAAATTAAAGAATGACGCTTGGTGAATCGCTTCATTATTTTCGGGGAGGAAGGGGGCACTGCATGTGTTCGGAATTCTATGGTATAATATCTTTTCAGGAGAACACGCATGCATATATGACTATTTGATCGCTTAATTTCTAACTTTCCACGCATATCTTGTTGATAGCTTTCTGATAATTAGCAAAATGTCTTTTCTTAAAGGGGTTACTAGTCCTGATGATGATCACAATGAGACATTTAACTTGTGAAGCGGCACCTGCAAAGCGGCCTGCTCAGTTGGATCGCACTAAGGTACACGATAAGGCTATGTTGGAAAAAACATATCAGACTGAAAAGTTGCTGAAAAAAGCAATAAAAAAATCGCAATGGTTTACCAAGGAACGTTCGTCAAAAATAAGCAGCAACTGTCCATTCACATGGAAAATGTCAAAACTACAGAATAAACGACTCCCAAGACATGTTGTTGAGGCTGAGTGCAAAGGATGTAGTCTGTCGTGCAAGCCTCTTCTTTACCATGTAACTGTACTAATTAATGATGGAACAAATAAAATGAATTGGACAACAATCCCAGTAAAGGTGGCTTATATCTATGACCTTCAATGGAAATGAGATAAAAATTGAACTTCTACAGAAGTGCGGACTTGTAGTTTATGTTTGCACTAAGCTCCAAAAATTGGTGGCGGTATAGAAACTAGAAATAAAGTGTCGATTTTGGAGAACCCAGAATTATAGGATGTATTTTCTATGAAAAATTTTTAAATGACATTTATTATTTATTTGAGATTTTATAGTAAATTTTTAACCAAATGTATACGTAATTGAATATATATTTAAGAAATTAATGTTGATATAGTACTGCAGAAAGCTGGTCTTTAATGTAACTTATAACATATATTTATATAACACTTTTGTTAGCCTCATTATACCCAGGAGAACCAGGAGAACCCAGGAGATATAAGTGTATACACCATGTAGAGGTACCATGCATGCATATAACATGCATAACCGAAAATTTGGCGAATTTTCTATAGTCGAAGTGCATGCAACTAAATGCACCACAAGTGTGCCAAATGAGAAAAGCCAGTCTAAAGAACTGTTTTTTAACTACTTTACATTCATATTTAGATCAATATATAGTATAACAGTTTCTATAAGATGTGATGTAACTGGTTTTTAAAATTCACAAAACAGAAACAGAGCATGCAACTTTATCTGGGTAACCTTACCGGCAAACAAAAGTGTATACCAGTTCTTTCCGTGGAAGTTATCTCAGATCTAACGAAACATAGAGACGATCGTAAATAGGGTAAAGCGCTGTTCCATTTGAAAACAGACTTACAGTAACTAAGTCATTGTTGTGTAATTAAAAGACGTAAGGTTAAAGCAAGTATATAGGACAACAAAGCGATAACAATGGCTTCAATACTAAACATACCACAGCCACCATTGTAATACTTTTTGCTTGCATGAATTGTTGGGCGAACCTAAAATTATTAATCATGCAAGAGTATTTTCTAATAGATCTGAAATAAATTCCACGAGTTTCGGTATATGACGAAAATCGTCTTATTTATTAATAACTTAATTATTAATTTATAGCAATATAGTCCACTACAAAGATTGTATTTATTATTACATATAGGCGGAACCACATATTTATTGTTTATATATATATATATGTAAATAAATAAGTGGAATATAATAGGAACGCCCGAAATGATTAATCATTATAATATAGCAATTTAGATATAGTTTAATATAAGACATTTTACGTATAAAATTATGAAATAAATTTACTTTATTATTTATTTAAAAGAATTCTCCATTTCTGATTGGCTAACAGCCAACTGTGAAATCATCATATCAACTGAGTGGCTGACCAAATATAGAGTTGTGATATAAATCATGCAATATGGGTAAAAATTATTGCTCCATTGATCAACGGGTGCAATATATTATAGCACGCTTTGATCGCTTTGACCCCATGAAAACCATTTGAAACAGCGACAGAAAGATCCTGAAACATTTCTTGAACTAGGAGTTACTATCGCAAGGAAAGTGCTGCCTTTTTGCCACATGAATTGAATGCAAAACCTCTCTAAAGGGAAAGTTTACTTTTGGCACAATATATTTATTATTAAATTGTGTGCACGGAACATGAGTAAATAACCAACATGAAAATGTTGCCATTCGGTCAAAAGTGGATAAACAGCATGCCCATTAGCTGACGATGCACCCCACTTTAGCATTAACTCTATCTAACGCCAAACAAATTTACACTCTGTAACGCCAGACTATTTTACTTGTCAGTGGTACGTACAGTACTGTCAGTATTAAAATGGGTTAACAAACCTATCTGCTAATGTCTCTAACCCCCATTGGCAGGCAATGCGTCCTACTTTAGTATTTACTGTCTATCCACTATCGTAGGAAGCAATTTTGTATTGGGGGAGCTGATTAGTCAGGGGCGATTTTTAGACGCCATTAAAACATGGAGCTACTGTATATATATATATATATATATATATATATATATATATATATATATATATATATATATATATATATATATATATATATATATATATATAGCATTATAAAATGACCTTTTAATAACGCCTGCGCTGATTGGTTGAAAAACGAAAAATCCCGTGTTTCTATAACGCTATAGAACACGGGAATTTTCCACGAACCTCAAAACAACACACTAAAACAAACGTTTTCGCCTGAAATATCAATTAAAAATCTTCGTCAACCTGAAATTTTGTTAAACAAGCAATGGAAAACACTTACCAAACGTTTTTTCGCTTTAAATTTTCTTTAAATCAACTTTTTCAGCGTGTTTTTTTCCATAATTTTGCAGTCGGCAAAACTGAAAATTGATGCCGGTATTGTTGCTAGGCAATATTTTCTTGTTATTGTGTAATGAGAATATACTTTTTAATCGCGTTAAAAATATTGTTTTTGTGTTATTATAGGTTATTTAATAAAGGAAATAGAAAACATTTTTTCCTGTGTTTCTATAGAGTTATAGAAACACTTGTGCTGGTTTGGGGAAACTCGAAATAACGTGGAAACACTCGCACTACGTGCTCGTGTTCCAACTGATTATTTCTCGTTCTCCCAAACTAGCACGCGTGCACGTGTTTCTATAACTCCGTATAGAAACACGGAAAATGTTTTCTATTTCTTAATGAGAAGTTGATCTATCAATGCTAATCGAAATGACATTGTATGCCTCGTTCTCTGAAAATTACTAGTTGACTGCGTATCCGCGTGTACTAAAATATAGAGCTACCTTTAATAAGTCACTGTATAAACTATTGAGAATAAATATAGATGTATTAATACATCGTATCCATGATATTTGAAAGGCATAGATTAAAAAATGGACGGGTATTTTGCAATCGCTCCGTAAGATATATTGCAATGTTTGTTCAGAATTATGGAATCAAAAACAATGGAACTTGCAAAGAGAGTTAAGATACGTTTACAGTACACTGCGAGAAGCAAAAACAGCATATTATAAAGCACAATATGAAAGTGTCAAATATGACCCTAAAAAGCTTGGAAAACCGTTAATAAAATCCTTAACCGGAAACAAGAATGTCGTGAAATAAATTGTATCCATACTCAGAATGGTCAAATTTCTTGTCCAAATGAATTAGCGGAGCGCTTTAATAATTACTTTACTGACATTGGTCCAAAAATTGCCACAACCATTGGTAATACTGATAGAAATTTCACGGATTACATAACAAAAGCAACAAGTAGTTTCAAGTTTCAAACAGTGTCTGAAACCAAAGTATACAAACTTCTCTCCTCTTTAAATCCTTGTAAATCTACTGGAATTGATAAAATTGCAGAAAGCATTATAGTAACTTATAGCGGGCGGTGCGGCGTATTTTGCGGGCTAAAATCGAACCAGATTAGCAGGCTATAAAATACATTTTAGCCCACTGAATTTGACATTGTCTAGGGACCGATTGTTTATTACGTCAAGGGGGGGGGGGGGCGGTGTTTATTTAAAAATATCATTCAATTAAATTTTAACCCCCACCAAAATATTTTTGTTAAAAAGTTAACCCCCTGTTTAATTCCACCAAAAGATTACCACCCCCCTTTGAAAATTAAACATGATCGATCCCAACACACCTTTTCGATAATTACTTCACAATTTTTTCTTTGCCCTGGGAGCCTCGTTCTTATCAATCATGAGCCATCACCTTTCGTCTTTACTCATAAGAGCGAGGTTCCCATGAGGCCAAAGAAAAATTTGTGAAGTAATTATCGAAAAGGTGTGTTGCATTCTGTATCACAACATTGTCCGCAGCCTTTGCAGGATCTAAATAACAGATTGATTGAATTGAAATAAAGGGTCTGGGAACGACACTTGATTGCGTAAAATTCAAATTCAAAATGGCGATGGCAAAACAAAGAAAAGCTCCATCTGCTGGGAATGCTTATTTTTAAATGCCATATTGATCTCTCTTATCAATTTTTCTCTTACTGTTTTTCTATTATATACCTTTCTGGTAGCATATTGACTGTATTGAATATAATATTATTTTATGTGACCAAATTATTTCCCCGGCTCCAACTGCTTGATCGAGTGTGCAGACGTCATCGGTATACTTCGAGGTATCGACGGTTAGGTTTGCAGGGATTTCATCCTCTAAATCATCGATGTATAACATTAAATAGCATAGGAGAGATGACCGAGCCTTGCGGAACTCCAGCTGGGCATGGAGCGGATGATGACAACATTTGAAGTAGCTTTAGGGGCCATTCACAAAGGATGTCCGAGCCGAGGGGGGAGGGGGGTTTGGAAAATCAGGACAAACTCGGACATAGGGGGGGGAGGGGTTTTTTAGCAATCCGGATGTCCGAAATTTAAAAAAATTCAAAAACAAATTTCTTTTTCCTCTATTTTGAACTCTCTTTCCCATTGTGAAATTGGCATTTTGACTATGCGGTTAATACTAGATTTTGTTTTAATTAGTAATTTATATGTTTTTGTATTCACATTTATAGTTATAAAAAAGTTCTAAAAGTAAAAAAAGATTTTTACTCTTGACATATACAAGGTTGGGTGAGTTTTTTGCGAGGCATGGAGAATGTCCGGGGGGTCACTAATTTGGACAATGCCGGACAAGGGGGGGGAGGGGGGGGTCGGAAAATCCATAATTTGGCCGGACGTCCTTTGTGAATGGCCCCTTACCTGTTGACTTCTCATGGATAGGAAATCTCGAATCCACAGCCAAAAAGATTTAGTTAAAGGTTTAGACCAATTTAGAAAGGAGAATTCGGTGGTCCTGGTCCACCATATCAAACGCTTTGCTAAAGAAAAGCTTTGCTCAATGAAAATAGCATGTATACCTTTTCTGCCATGCGCAGTGTTTCCAGTTTCATCAAACCATTTTTGTGAAAATTCAATCAATGCTGAGATTGTAGAGCGGCCCTTGAGAAATGCATGTTGGTTATCTTTTAATGTGAGATCTGCACAATTTAGTTGCAATTAAATCTTTTCCAGCACTTTAGCTAACTGTGGAAGCACAGAAATTTGACGAAAATCAGTTTCAATATTTTTTGGTGGAGTAATTTTAGGCACAGGGGTTATTAGAGCTTGTTTGTACAAGGTGGGGTATTTACATTGAATTATACTACTCGTGGTGATGTTATGTGCTACGGGAGCTAAGTCTTCGCTATACTGCTTCAGGAACCATGCTGGGATTCCATCAATGCCAGTCGCCTTCTTCACCTTTAATGCATTAAGGGCATTTTCAACTGACCTATCGATGGTATGGGGGGATCAGTTTCTTTAAGATAGTGGGTTGCACATTATTTAGGTCATAACTAGCAGCATTGTCTAACATCATTCCATTCCAAGGGGCGGTAAAAACGGCCTGTAGTTTCTCGGTCAGTTCAGAAAGATCGTAGTTTTGGCACCCGTTTGCCGGAAGGTTGGATGTACCATCTATGCCAACTAGTGAGGAGATGGATTTAAACCATTTACTAGAGTTAATTGATTTACGGTGGTCTTTGGCTTTACTTTCACAGTAGACTATTTTCGCTTTTGATATCAGACTAGAGACTTTATGGCATAAGTGTGTATAGTTTATACTATCGCCACGACTAAAAGCTCGCTGTCTAGCTTTGACTTCCATTTTAACGTGGCTTGTCATCCACAGTTGTGGACTCTGATGGTTTGACAGGCACCTCCGTGTCCAGCATGTAAATCACAGTTTCAATGAACAGCTTGACCTTTTCGTCAACATCTTCAGCACGGAATATACGCTCCCATGTCTGCTGCGCCACTTTTCATTAATCTGACTCTCTTTGTCGCGGGAGGGATTTTCAAATAGGTGGCTGGCTGAATCAAACAGATTATAAACATGTTTGTAGCAATTTGGTCCAGGTTATTTTTCCCTCGAATGGGCGCTGATATACAGTTTTACGTAGCTCAAAACGGCTGCATACACGACTAATGTCCAACATATTGAAATCTCCTGCAATGATAATTCCTGAAGATATATCCATTTGGTAAGTATAATATCCAGTCCGTTAGAAAGATACTCTATCATTTCATAGTCATTTTCACGCAGTTGGCCAGGTGGGTAGTATACAATAACGGAACGTGGGGAGGATTTTGTCATCCAAGATGGCGGATTGCATGAGTGAATAATTATGAGAATTAGAACCACTGATTAGAACAGGCGGGAAAATTGACTGAGCATGCGCGAAAAGTGCTCGGGTCTGCAGCGGGAGAAGATATGGCGTGCTTCCACTTGGTTAGTTGATTGATTTAAAAAAAACATAAACAACATGAACGAAGCCTTCGAAAGACAATTTTGCAGCGGCTGTTTGGCCCACAAATCACCACAAAAATTGGATTCACTCAGAAAAAATGTTGCAGTAATATTTGATTTCCTCTATTGCCACATATTTTACAATGTAAACTATTAATATCGATTATTTCAGTGCAAAACAAAACAGAGCAAAAAATTTCCTTTTAAAATGTCGTCTGATACGTTCAATAAAATGTGAAATTCAAACCAAAAATACGAAAACTTTTTCATTTTTTACAATGCCAAGAAATTTAATACCGACTTAAAAACACTTTGAAATTTAACGTAAAACAGCGATATTTCGTTGGCACAACCTGTAGTATGACAAAATTTGTGTTTATAGAATTTAGTGAACGAGCGAAAATTGTGTTTAAAAATAATACAAAGTTTACGCTTCGAAATGAGGGTCATAGGAAAATCTGATTGCTATGTTTATCTGTTTTTTAAATACTTTGAAAACCTAAAAATAATATTTTTCGAGGTGTGTCGGTCATGTGTGCCGCTCGCCCATCAACATACTGTAGTTGAATTGTAATTGTTCTTCACAGTTTGGTTATCATCATGTTATTGCTCAAGTTACTGTATCTCATTTTGTCTCTATCATTTTTTGGTTGATCATGAAAAATAGCACCCCTAGGGGGGTACACTCCCCCCAGTAAATCTATCCCTGAAACAATAACCTAATATTAAGGCCGTGTTACACAAATAGGCAGTATTTACTGCAACTTGCAATGCAATTTCTGATAAAAGGCGATGTGATTTAAAAATATGTCACAGGGAAATTGTGAGCATGGACCACAGTTTACTTTTATTTTTTATCCCATTTCTTTCATTTTTCATCCATTAAGAGTTGTTATATTGTAAAGAAAGTGTGAGCAGAACAGAATGCTGGCCATGTTCAATTATGTCACTATTTTATCTGGCAGGTTATGACATGCTTGATCAATGTTGTCATTGACAATGGTTGCTTGTCCATGTGCTAAATGTGGTGCAGCCTTGAAGCTGCTAACTGTTATATACAGGGTGTATAAAAAAAACTGAACAGATTTGAAATTGCTCTCAATTTCGCAAAACACCTATTTGTATCTGTCTTTTTATATATATAGCTTCTTTGAGTACTTATAATGTAAAATATTGAAAAAAATTTCTCGATCTCAAATTTTGTGAACCAGGGGGTGCGTCTTTTGCAACAAACTAAAAATGGCTCGCGCACAAAATTTAAAAGCTGTAATCATATTTTGAGTTAATAGATTGAAAAGTTGTCGGGTTTTTAATTACTGTACAAAATTTCAGACAATTTGGTTTAGTTTAAGCCCTTTAACTATTCATTTTGTTCTAAAAAGTCAGCCTTTCGCATGCTTAATTAATGCCTTTACCTAATTTTCATATTGCTGACATATGCAAATTAGGCAAATGCATTAATTAAGCATGCAAATAGCTGATTTTTCGGGAAAATTGTAACTTTGCGTGAATAGTTAAGGGG